CAAAACAGTGATGTAGTGTTAGTTTCTGTCAAGGGCAGAGCATCTTGAACAGATATAAAGAGCTATAAAGAACCAGAGCTTAATAATATAAGCCTTGCAGAATTAATGTCTGGTTGTGGCTGACTTTTCCCAAGGTACTGGTATAGCAATATTAGATTGTCAAGGAAATCATTAGAATATTGATGCCCCGGGCATGTGCAGACAAGAGGCAGGTTGACAATGAGTCCATTAATAGGTTGCCATACACAAATGCATGAATTGAGGAATGAAATACGTGGAGACCTGAGCACAAGTCAAGTGTTCTGTTATGAACATTTAATACCTTTTTTTTTTTTTGCAGGAGAGAATGAATCTGCTGTCACTGACTGTAGGTTAACCCATGCCAATCACAGCCACGCTCCATTTTTCATTTCTGCTATGTGTCATGGATACTCTTCAAAAGATACAGAAAAGCCTTCTTTGTAGCACACTGTAAAACCATGGAGGAGAAACAAGGTCGTTTACCTCAGTTGTGCAAGTAGGGAGGAGGCAAAAGATACTTTCAAAATAATGTTTTTCAGTTGAAGTCGCCCATCCCACAGGAATGCAGACATAAGTTATGTTCAACATCTGCACACAGAATCATTGTTGCAGAACTTTTTTGTAACATCTGAGGTTTTATAGATTATTGGTTAGAACAGTGATTGAGGCTCAGACAGAATACTCCACACAATAATTTAATAAAATCAACCACAGACTAGAAAAAAGAGAGCAAAGGCATTTTGTATTGAAGAAAAAAAAAAGCTCAACTAGCAACAGGAAGTTTCACTGTAAGCTTGAATTATTACATGTTTACAGTAAATGTATAATACCTTCATGAATCCAGTCGAGCTAAATGCTCAACACATCATCATTACTATACATAACATTGTTTCTGTAACAGGTCATGTTAGCCAGCTAACTTGTAGCAATCACATGAGACGAGTAACATTCTGGTTTGACTCTTGACATGAGCGCGAGTGCAACCGAAATGCATTTTCTATGTTTCCATTATTAATGGGGATGAGAGTTGCAGAGTATTAGATACAGTACAAGAAGGTGCCACCAGATTTTATGAGTCATTCAAGAGCAGAAAGCACAGCGGAGCATTCCTTGACAGCAAAGTGAATGAGTTGTCATTTTAATTTGAAAGCGTAGCTGACTGCAGCAAACACGGAGATGTTTCAGATTTAGAAAGAAAGCACAACATAAGGCAAACACTGTGAAAAACAAACAACTACCATGACCAGTCTTTTTGAATGTACAGTGTCTCTGTGAGTGTCTGTCAGAGAAATCACAAAAATATCAGTTATAACAGTGTGATATCTTCCATAAGGTCTCTCCTGCATTGAATCCATAAGACTTTTTTCTCTCAAGAGGTGACTACAGGTCCCCTTTATATTCACACCAGTGCAGTAATTATCAGTAGTTTCTTCAACTGTGTCACATGTTGTGTTGTACATATTTGTATATATGGCCCCATAAAACTGAGTAAATGTATAAAACCATCTCTAGCCTGCAATCCCAAAGCTCAGTACAGATCTGTCTGTGTCACAGCTGCAAAAAACAATATTGTAAAGAAATTTCAACAAAGACCTGACCAACTTCTCCTTGGTATTTAACTTAAAAAAAACAAAAAAACAACTTTTCTCTCCAGTGCAAATACTGTATAAAGCCTTTTAAAAACTGATTTGATGTGCATTGATTTTCTGCAAAGAGCTTTCATATGTGCTCAGAATCTTAGAGAGGTCATTCTTGCAGTGTCCCAGGCTGACACAAACTGAACTTAATATGTATATTTACGTACGATAACACAGATTAGTAGGTCTCAGGCAGATTAGTATTGAGCATGAGGACTGCTCTCTTCATCAGTTTGGAAAGTAAACCAGAGAGATAAACCATTCAAGATATTTTTGTTCATGGTTATCCTCACTTTTATCTTTTCTAAGACTATCAGAGGGTGTCCTTGTGAAAGGAAAGAGGGAGGCATAAACTGAGTCAATGAAATAGGTTATAGGCTGTAGCACATCTATTTCAAATAGCAAATGGTGACATTATAAATGTTAGACGGCAGCTCTAACATGAATGACATGTATGAGATCAGGTATAATGTTTTCAATCTTATCCCAATAGACAATAGAAGCACTGGAAACCTCTCTCTGTTTAGTGCTAGCTTTGCCATCTGAACACATCTTTTTTTGCATTCAGCGGGCGTAGAAGTGGAAGTTAAAGCTAAAATATTCAGGTTGTGACATTAAAATATCAGTAGTACACGATATCAGTCTCTGTCTGTTTGTACATTTCTGTATCACTCAGCTATTCACCAAAAAAAAAAAAGAAAGAAAGAAAGAAAGAAAAAAACTTTTGATGATGTAACGTTATGGATCACACATGGGTTGTGGTTGGTAGCTGAACAGGAGGTTGGGTTTAGGCACATATTTTAAAATGATTACATTTAAGACTGAGTCTTCAGATGGTTAAGTTTAGATAGAAAGTTGAAAATGGCTGTTTAAAGGGGCTATAAGTTTTCTCTACCGCTAAATGTCGTTTCTTGCCCAGAGCGGATGGTGAAGATTATCGCTTGACAAGAACTGTGGCCATCGTTGCGTTTACAAGACAAGAGGTTATACCCCCTCTGAGCAGCGCTACGTCTTCAGGGCAGACTGGAGGCTACAGTGAGTCGCTATCGGAAAGTGACGAGATGAGCCAGGGCGTGTTAACTTCAGTAGAGGAGGAGACGTGATAGAGACAAGAGTTAACACTAGCATTGGAGACAGCTCTTGGTGAGTGAAGGAATTAAGTCTGATGCTGAACTCACAACCTTTCTTCTAAACAGCTGTTAATGTTAATGTCGGCTATGTAGCAATAGAAAAACTTACAAATAGCTTCTTTAAGTTAAGATTGAGGATACGTAACATTAGGTTTGTGTGGTAGAGAGTAGAATCTAAAGACTTAAATCTCCGCTAGTAATGACTGACATATCTGTAGACAAGAGTCACATGTGTGTAGCGTTGTAGCGATGAAACAGAACTTCAGCAGCGACAAGAACAAAGTCTGAAAGCAGATGAAAAAGTAGAGCGAAGAATAACATAGCTCTAAAAACAAAAGCACCGTGCTTCAAACAATCAGACTGAAGCAGCTGTAGCCATGAATAATGTATCTCACGTGCATGTGCTCAGCAAAGCAGGCGAAACAATGACAAGTTTGGTCCTGATTTTTTCAGAGGACAACTGTTACAAACCGAACTGGATAACCTGGGGTACCATTTGTGTTACTTTGCTGATAACTGATCTTTTTTTTCTTTTTTTTTTAATAAACTCAATCCTAAAATGTTGCAAGATGTACACTCAAAAACAGTAATTGTTAAAAACCACTCCCACAGAGTCCATTGCGTTTCAGCTCTTCGTGTAGTTGAACACTCAGCAGGACGTAATGGAGTCAGAAGCGTAGCAGTATAAAGGCACTGTGTTATTTCTACAAGCCAACAGAAGTAAATCCAAGAGAAATCACGACCATATCGCTGACCACTTGTTTGTCAAATAAATGCCCCAAAGTCTTAACAGAAAATCCGGGTATGAAAGGTAGGGGCCAGTTGACCTCCCAACACCAACAGCTTTACTGAAAACTGTCAGACAGGATCCAGTGAGCATCCCGAGGAGTCTGAACTTAAGGGGCAGAACCAAGTGCAAAGGTCAGTCTGTAGTGAGGGCAGTGTGGGCAATCTTGTTAGATTGTTTCTTCAATGCCCACAGGGTCAAACACACACACACACACACACATCACACACGATACGTGCATATACACACACAGATAAAGTGAGCTCACACTCTCGCTCTGAAGTTGAATTAAGAGAAGATGACAAAAAAAAAAAAAGGCAACAGACACAAACTGCATTTAAAAGAATGGTTTGAAATATTAGGAAATACACTTTCTACCTTTCTTATTAGGATTTTAAACAATAAGATCAATACCATTCTCAGGTTTGTCCATTAGATATGAAACAATAACCAAAAGGTCATTAGCTTAGCGTAGCATAGAAAGATTGGAATCAGGGTTAAACTGCTAGCCTGACTCTGAAGCCAGACTATTTCTTGGACTGGAGCGTAACAACTAGAGTCACTACTGGTTTTCCCACAACCTCGCAAGCTGCTAATAGTCATAATTAGTTTTTAACAGAGCACTCTTTATGCTATGCTAAGCTAACTAGCTCCATACTTTTCTAGATATACCATCCGCATAGAGAACCACTCAGCATGCATTTGTTAAGAAATGTTTTTCATTTGTGGAGGGCTGATGTTAAAATAGTTATTCCTGATAGAAAACAAAAAAATGTCATAACAATTTTAGGGGGGATGTCCACCAGACTGTGAATAGACAACAACAACCGTGGCGTAAAGTTTTGAGAAGAGACCTGTGCCATGATATTAACATTAGCAGTCATCCCTTAGTTTTTAGTCATGATTACGCTATGTAAAATCAGAAGTTCTCTAGGAAGATATTCTGGAGTCAGCCATGAATGATCTGCCACCTAGTTCAAATACTTTTTAAGCCTCCAGATATACACAAAGCACATGGGCAAAGTATGTATGTGAACAACGATGCTCGTCTACGCGTTGGAAAGAAACAAATATGTCAGATGCTTACATAAAAGGGTCACATAAAGGAATGTTATCTGGTCAGTGTTGCAACAACAGCATCCGTTCCAGATTTAGTGCACATGGACATTCACTCATCCTCACAATAACAAAGAGCCACTCTTTAAAACAGCATCTCTGTGCTTGGTTCTGCTTGTTGGTTTTGATCCACGACCAGCCAGGAGGTCAAAAGGTCATGATCCAAAGAAAGACTTAAAGTGTTTGGTTTCTTCCTTCCAAATCCATTTTATACACATATCAGAAACTGTACAGGGGTGACGGAGATGTCGCAGAGAGTCTGGATGGAAGGATGGCCTTGTTGTTTAACGGCTGCAGCTCCCCCTCCCCCTAGTAGATGACCTCGTAGACTGTCGCTTTCTTATCTCCAGAGCCCGTTACAATGTACTTATCATCTATGGAGATGTCGCAGCTCAGCACTGAGGACGACTCCTTTGACTGTAAGAGGGAGAAAAGATGTGTGAAAATGTAAAAAGCTGTCCAGCCATCCGTCCAGTCCACATCATCTGTAAAAAGTCAAGTGCAGTAACACGTTTAGCTCAAACTGCAACTTTGTCTTCTCTTTTCTTATCGAGACCCTGATGAAAGCTTCTTGCTCTTGATGTACGGTAATGTCCCAGAATGAGAGCTGAGTGTGTGGCTACACTTTTACGATTTTAACATTTCTGATTCTGCTGTATTCAGCACCTCCACTTCTGTCTTCACTACATTTCCTGTTTATAATTCAACATTTTAACTTTTTTTATTGACCGTGTTCCCACAAAAGCTTACAGTCAGAGAGCAGGGAGGCGTTTGATGTCTTGCTTAGAGATTTTTCCATAAAACTTGTAATCTCCTGGCTATTAGACTGAAGTCTATCTGACCTCTCAGCTGCCTGTAACACATGTTTATGTTCTTGTTGTATGTTCTTTCACACGTACCTGGAATATGCTGGCTCCATATGGGGTTCTCCATGCGTTGAGCAGATTGTCTTTTCCTGTGCTCACAAACCACTTCCCTGCAGGGGATGGCAAACCACATTAGGCCATATCAAGAAAAAAACATATGCCCCAAATTTGAAACATTTTACCCAAACATTTTATTTTTCTTTAATAAAAGCTTCCGCCAAAACATGAGTGAAGCCAATTGACACTGATGCTAATGGACGCTGACACATTAAAGCAGAATCATTATCTGGTCCGAGGGTTAAGCTGCTAATTGAAATGACAGTTAATTAATTGACGCAAGAACTAGCTCAAACAAAGCTGGTCTAGATTAGTCTATTGACTCTGTAGTTCCCTCTTTACAAAAATAGGCATATGTACATGTATGTTTTTCATATATATACTGTCATGCCTTAGTTATGGCAAATAGGTCATTTATTTCTAGTGCAGCGTTAACTAATTACACTTTTCCGGTGTTTTATTGGATTTATTATTTTATTATTAAGTTTTGATATCCATAAGAAGATATATTAGTGGTTTTAAGAACCAAAAACCATTTCAGTGTAGTTTTCTATCCCCTCCCTCAGGCTTCTCTCTGGAGCTGTAGCAACAAGAGGTTGGAGGCTCTGACCCTCTCTTCTGATTGGCTGACTGTTTTCTGAGTGATCGCATAAAAATATAGCAGATTTCAGGTGAACACTCAGAGAACCATAATTCCTGCAAGGTTGGATGGTGGGTCCAGTTGGGCAGGGCTTGGGGCATGGGTGAGGGTTGTGACTGCTTTGTTGTGACATCACAAAGTCACAGAAGTCCTGACGGCTTGTTTTAATGAATACAGGCTGTGTACATTTCTCTGTGGACTGAGCGCTTTGATACTTTCACAGTATTATGATAGAACCTAGACCTGCTTCATAATCAAAACAGACTTGGAAATCTATGTCTATACAATATGGGACCTTTAAAGAACACTTATTTGCACATTTAGGATACATCCATTGCTTCGGTTGAAATTTAACGACGGTCACATACTGAGGTAAAACAAGACTGTGTCAATGGGAGAGAAAGGAGGCCGTTCTGAGGAGAACCAAGAGGAACAGGGTGGAGTTTCTCAAATCTATCTTTACACCCTGGGTGTAAAAAATTGACCAAACAATGTGATAAAATCTTCAAACAGTTTTGCAACTGCACACCAGCTTCTCATTTTAATCACTAGAGGGCAAATTGATTCAGACTGAGCTGGAAATTAATGTAAACATTAAAATCATCTATTTGTTTCCAGAAACTACTACAAAGTCTTTGTTGGTTTGGATTTTTATGTTTTGTAGTTGCCTTCCTCTGAAAATCACCTTTATTTACATTGTGAATTTTCTAGTCATGTTTGTCTCCTACACAAACCTGCCAAATTTAGTCCCATTCCCATTTCCCTTGCAAACCATGTAGCACTATGAACCCACTACAAATTTGTAATTTTCTCGAGTGCATAATATCACCCAGCATATAAATTAATGCTAAAGAAAATCATCAACAGTTCTCATCAGGTCATGCATACTTTGATCAACAAGTCAATTTCCCCAAGACTTGGTAAATGCATTCATTTCCTTCCTGTCAGAAAATACTTACAAATCTTAAAAAAGACGTGTTCATTCTTACCACAGTGAGCAAATCTGAGCGAGAGCACGCAGCTTTCATGCAGGTGGAGTTGGTACTTGTCAGGTTTGGTGACATGTAGGACCTCCACGTTACTGTTCTCCATCCCTACTGCCAGCCACTCGCCCGTTGGACAGTATCCCAGTGAGAAGATCTGCAAACCAAACCTAACAGTTATAGCAGCTTCTGTATTTCTCTTATAGTTCATAGAATAATATCATCTCTTATATTTATCTACTCTGGGAATGATGGAGTATTTGTGCTCGTCTGCGTGGGCAGGCACTTGTTGGCAAATGTCCACTGTATGCTTTTCTACACCATCATAAACATTTCAGTCCCGCACATACTAAGCTGTCAAACCAGATGGCTGTTTCAGTTTCTAAAATGGTTTTTGAATATGCAACAATCCCTGCAGCAGGACTGGTGAAATGAAACGAGGTGGGTGAATGATTGCGTCAGTTCTCATTTGTTAAACACATCTCGACGAAATGTCTTTCAGATGATTGAGACTGAAAAAAAACACACACGATGGCTTGTTAAAGCTGGTGAATGCACGTCTTTTTTCTTTGCTAAAACCCATGGTGTACAGATGTTTTTTGGAGGTTAGAGAAGATATTATTGGAAAGCACAAGCATTTTATCGGCTAGGTCTCTCCTGGTCTGCCCTGCCCTCCCTGAGCTCTCTTTAATACACACTCCCCTCCTCCTGTGCACACTGAGATTGCGAAATGGGTCTTTTCAGGAAAATTGCAGTAATGGTCTATTATTGCTGCTCTACTCCTCACCTGAAAAAAAAACTACATTCTAACTGCCAGTGTTATTAGTGTTAAAGGTATCTGAGGAAAGGCCAGAAAACCAAAGCCCAGTCTGGCCCTGAGTGCAGCTTAAATGTTCTGAACTGAGTTTGTAAATTACTGCAATAAATCATAGCCTGAGGGTGTGACCGCACAAACTGCAAATTGCTGTGACTTGTCCTGCGACGCACGATTTCCATCAGTAAATGAAAACTGTACAAAACCAAACCTTTTGATCATAAAACATACAGCAGCAAATTGCCAGAACTAATCCCATACTACTGCTACACAAACTATGATCCATACAGACATGTAGCGCACACACACATGGTGACAAGTTACAGAGATAGATGTACATTTTATAGCACTAATAGAAGTTTCTGTACCTGGGAAGTGAAGTCATGCTGTTGCAGCTGCCGTCCCTCTCTCAGGTCCCAGGACCGGACGGTGTTATCCAGGCCTCCAGTCCACAGCTTGGTCCCATCATTAGAAATGTCTATACAGCTGGCCCCATCAGTGTGGCCCTGGAACTGCCTGCAGGGGGAAAAAAAAAAAAAAAAGTCAGACAAACCCATGCTCAACAAGAGAGTGTTCATCAAATGAAAGAATGAATACTTCATGTGGACTTGGAGAGAAAAGATGCTTTTAAAATAGCAGAAGGAAAAGAAAGCGCCTTCACAGTTTGACTGTGTCGGCCTGTGTCGAACATACACAGTAACACACCCCGAGTACAAACCATAGGCTGATGAGCAGCGACTGAGTGATTGCCACACCATCTGCCAGCGACAGGAGAACTAGTCAGTGATACCAGGAGGTGATAAAGTGACTGGCTGAATCTGAAACCCGCACACTCTCCGGCACACATCACACATGGGTAAGCAACACTAGTGTAATGTTTTTGACAGGTGGCCCACGCTCACACTGTAGTGACTGATTACAAGTAATTACAATCAAATTTAATATCATAGATATATCAATATATCATAGACTGTAAAAGATGGTCAGGTGGGTAAAATTTGTAGAATCACCTGTTCACCTCAAAGATTAAAATCTTTTTTTTTTTAAACTGTGAAATGTGTTTTATGCTTTTCATTTATTTTTTTGATTTTTTTCCGGCAGGACAACAATGAAAAACACTATCAGCTTGACTAAAGTTAAAAGTGTTTCGCAGCAGTTGCAACAAAATAGCATGAAGACAAGACTAACGACACAAAAACATTAAAAGTTACACAAAAGTATCCTTCATATCTAAAGGCAAAACAACAAAACCGACCTGATTTCAGTTTCGATCTCTGGCAGTTGAATCTTGTTGGTTGTTAGCAGTTAAACTTTTTTCCAGGTCATGGCTGAGACTCAAGGCTCTTTGTTACACAATGTTTCATCTCAGTTTTGTAAAGGTGAAACTTACTTTGAAGAGTTATTTTGGCGTTTCAAGGGCATGTTTTCCTTAAGTTGCACAGATATCACAATGCATAAAAACTTGTGCACGGCAGAATCATATGTATTGTGACACCGTCTATGCCCCCCCAACCCTCGCACACCACACCTCCAGCTCCATACCTAACCAGAGTCTGGTTGTGAAGATCCCAGACAGCGATGTTTCCGTCGGAGCAGCAGGAAAAGCAGACCTTTGAGTCGGGGCTGATGGCCAGAGCGTAACACGCAGGTGCTGACGAAGTTAGTTCGGCTTTTATCCGTGGAGTTGGTGTGGCCAGATCCCAGATTGACAAAGTACTCGCCTCGCCCCCGACAATCAGAGTCCGCCCGTCAGGAAGCAGTCGACAGGAGCGGATGTAGTTGTCTCTGTTCTGATGTGACAGACACACACAAGTACTTCTTACTGTCATTAAAAACAACAAATGCATACACCAGCTGCTGTAAGCATCCACTACAGGTAAAACACTGAAAAATGTGCTGTATTTTAACCATATGTGATGTAACATTGCAGTGTCATGTGTGTAAGGGTCGTTGTAGTGCACTCACAAGGCAGTCCAGCTGGGATACAGGGGTCTTGTTGCCCGGGTGACTGATGTCCCACACCTTGACGCAACCCTTGCCGCCGGTGTAGACATGACGCGTCGGGTTACTGATGGTGACAGCACACACCACCTCCCCGTGGCTAAGAGTATTGATCTGTCGTGCGTGGCGCGGGATGCCAGGGCCGATCAGCGCATCCGGAGGAAAAGGCACAGGCTGCATTTGTCCATCAGCACTCACATGAAAGGAGTAGGCTCTGAAGGAGAGAAAAGGAACAACAGGATGGTGAGTAAAGAGAGAGGCGGAGATGTGAGGAAAGGTAAAAGCCAACAAGGTGGAATAAATGTGCAATTGTGACATTTGAGAATGAGGAGGGGACACGTACGGTTTTCCACCAGGAATGCCCGACAGGTTGGGCGGAAGGCCAGGGACACGTATGTGGTGGTGGGGATCAAATCCCACCTACAGAACACAAGAGGGTGACAAAGTTTAAAAGCAATTCAACAATAAAGTGGAACTGGAACTGAAATGATATAATAAAAGGAACGAGCAGGGTGTGTGTCAGTCACACCAAAGTAAATCTGGTTGTTGGCTCCAATTTTAAGTTGGAATTGAAAGTTGAAAGTTTAAATAAGACATGACGTAATACTAATGTTTGCAGTTTCTAAACTACAAAGCCACCAGACATCATTTTATTCTTATTTTGCCTTGTATAAGTTGTTACTGACAGTTTTTTTTTTAACCAGTTCTTAAAGTTAATTTTGGACACTGAGTGAGCATGTAGGTGTTAATGTTTACATATATAGAAAGGATGCGTACCACTTGTGTTCGTCCGTAAGCTGCCACTGCAGCAGCAGCCACCGCGCTCATCTGCGGGGAGATGTTGTGCAGGCCGGTGTAGGCTGCACCCGCTCCACTCAGCTCTCCGTTCATACCCGGGTGAGGAACCATGCCGAACGGCCCGGGGTACGAGCAGGGCACTGCCAGTGGCGTACGAAGCCCAGGTGCTACAAGACAAAACACTGTCTTGATACAAGTTGTGACATTTGCATCTGAGGAGAGAGTGTTCGCTTTATCTCTGCGTGGTGTTGCTTTTAAGGGCTAATTCAGGGTTTCCGCTCCCACTATTGTTCTTTGTACGCTCATGTAAGTGTAACAAGTCGCAGGCCTATTTCTGATTCGACAAAGGCAGCAAGACAAACTTCATTTCTTACACTCTCTACATTAGGATACATTAACCTGTGTGTACAGGAGATTATATTCTTATAATATAATTACATCTATAAACATCACAAGGCATTAACTCAGAGATCCCATTAATTCAGGCCATATTCATACAGACACATGTTTACTCTATAAAGCTCCACAAAGCAGTGAATGAGATGGAGCGCTCACCCAGTGTCTCCACACCTGTCGGTTTACCAGGTGCAGACCTCAGGCCCGGGGTGGAGGTGCTGCTGGGTGTTGGGGCGTCAGAGCGGGATGTGGGGGTGCTGGACTTGGACACAGGTGTTGTGGACTTCTCATTCTATGACACAAAAAAGCAAAGTAATGTTAGTCACAAAATTTGAAGCACTACTCTGGACACAGTCTTCAGATGCAGCAGATCTTTAAGGTTGTTACTCGAAAAAGAAAAAAAATTCTGCGCCTGATACAATATAATCCAGGATTTTTCACCTAGATTTTCATTTTTACTTTCATTTTACTTATAATTTATCATCTTCTGACCAACAAGAAATTTTCCGTCTTAAACACCGAACCTTCACTCTGTTCTATACCTTACTTCTAGTGATTTCTTATAATTTTTTTTTTTTACATTTTTCTGAATATCTAAAAATAGAAAACTACCCCGAGAATTGATGAAAAAGAAGATCAAAAGGCTATAATTACCCAAATGACTCACCAAATTAATCTCTTTGGACTTGGATGAAGGTGTGCTGCTGGAGGAGGCGATGGAGGAAGGGCTCAGGGGAGCATCCTTCTTCAACAGCCGACTTTTGTCCAATCCGTTCTCCCGAGGAGAGTGGGCAGGACTTCCTCGTGGAGACACTGGATCCTGAGGTGGGTGAGCGCACGAAGATGAGAGAGTAAGATGGAGTTGTTTTTTTTTTTGTTTTTTTTTTGGATCAGGTAACAAAGAAGCTGCCATACTGTTCTGTACCTCATTGGAGACATCCACTACCAAGTTGTCATCGCTTTTCTCTCCATCGCTTTCCTGGCATGGACACACAGAAGAGGCACACTTGACTTTTACTGCATTTTACGGTGATGAAAACATACGGGAATGCTAAATAGACAAGTCTAAATTTTACGCCTCTAAATGAAAATTATATTCCAGTGTATACAGAAATTGCAGAGCTTGTATATTGTTTTATTTTGGATAAAATGGAAGGTGTTCAGGTCTTGAAAACTTGTATGTCCACCTGCTGAGGTCTGACAAGAAAAAAAAAACTCATCAGCCAACATTAATTATCTATAAAACCATAGACAATCAGCGCATTACCCAACACAACACCCCATTAATTTGATATCAAATGAAATTATGCATGTGGTAATGAAATGGGGTTATCATAAAATCAAGGATTTAATTAAGGTTATAAAAGAGTGTGATAAACTATTTCTAATACCTCCTCAGTCAATTTCCATGTGGTATTTTAAAATTTTGTTACAATATTAGATAAAATGGTCAAAAACAGCTCCATTGTGGAGCATCCAGATGGCACATTTGGCGGAAGTTCAAGCCGTAAACTGCAGCACACTGGGTTAAAATTGATGCCTCTTATTGACAACTGGCCAAAGACATGAAAGAGTGTGGGAATGTGTCTTCAATAATTTCATAAACATGCACTGTCTGTCAGGATGCTTTTGTTTTGTAGTGGGTTTTATATTAAAAAGTGTAGTTAGTATAGATGCAGCAGTACAGGGCTGGTGTGATCACACAAGAGCCAAATTACAAAATTCTCCCTTTCCCCAATGTTCCTTTCAAAAAATAAAAAATAATTTAAAGAAAGACAATGCTTAAAAAATAGAGCTGTTCAACTCAGCAAAGGCTAACTGCTACATCCTCACTCACGTAGCGTGTCGAGGCCAACTCTTTATCGTCTGTCTTCTGTTTCTTGCTGTCGGAGGAGTAATCGCTTGAACTCCGGTGCTTCTCTCCAGCCCGGAAACTGGCCGAAGGAGAAACAGATGAGCTCTGGAAGTAACAAGAAAAGTATACTTTACAAAAGATGAAGAAAACATATATACATCAACTGTGAACTGGACAAAACTCATCATATAACAGTGGGGAAAACAAGACCAGACACCTGTCTAAAAATTGTCCCATAGGTGAGAAGATTGTCTGTTTACTCCAAAGATGTACAGTATGTGACATGTGCATTAAAATATGGTACATCTCTACAGTATGTCTTAGAAGCAATTTGGGAACTACTTTCTACCAAAGACATCGATCCAATGAAAACAGTTGACAACATGTTCTGTGGATTATCCAAAGTGATGGACACACTGTTTCTACATACATTTTGTTGTGATTTGGGTGAACTGACCCTTTAATACCAAATGGGCCAATAGTGTATGTGGGTGTACTTAATAGTTTACAGGTTAAAATTATACAATGAGGAACTCTACAGAAAGACATGACTGAACAAATTAAAAGGTAAGGTTAACGACCTCTAACTGAGAACAGACAAAGTCCAAGAACAGAAAACAAAGTCCAACTAAGACCACATGTTAAAGACAGGACTCACAAGGCAAAACTAGCTGTTAAAGACCCCTGTAGATTGAGGAAAATTACTCATCATTACTCAACATTACTTGTCCCCCAACAGGGTGAAAAACAAAATGTAAGCTACAACTTGTATTCTATGAATCTTCTGAACGTGTCAAGACTTTTCCAGTACTGCTAAGTGAGGGCAAATCTGGGACTAAGCGTGCAGCCAGTCAGCAGCGCAAACACAGACGCAAAATGATTGTGATCCACTCCACGGCTGGATATCACTTTAAAAACTCCTCTGCCTGTCAAAACCATTTCATTTTTACTGTATCACACAATACCAAAGCAGTGCTGCATCCTTGACAATTTGACTACACCATCATTGCTTGAACTCGCTGGCATTATTTTGAAACTGGGGCGAGCGGGAGTTGGTCCATTGATGTCTCTCTTTTCTTAATCAAATATGGCATCCTTTAAATACCATTACTGAGGGATTAATCCTCTTTGAGAAGCAAAGATCAAAATAAGGTCAACTAAACATTTCCCCTCTTGCTCCACCTGTCCCTGCTGATCTCTCTCTCTCATTGGGAGGCGCTCCTTACCCGGCAGACGACGGACAGAGAGAAGAAAAATAAAGCAGGACCTTTAACTCGACCTTTCCACTAACTCACGCTTGTAACCTTTCCACTGCCCTTTGCCGTGCTGCAAGTGTTGATGACAAAGATTCTGTGGGGGAGGAGTGACGTTCGGGGGGTGTGTGACTTTGTGTGTGTGTGTGTGTGTGTGTGTGTGTGTGTGTGTGTGTGTGTGTGTGTGTGTGTGTGTGTGTATATGTGTGTGTATGTGTGTGTGAGTTTGTGTGTGTGTGTGGTCGGGCAGGACTTGTACCTGTTTACATTTTAGTACTCCGTATGTGCAAACAATATTGAGATGTCAGTGTGTATACAGGTGCAAGTCTCTTCTTGAGTGAGACAGAGCAGGCTGAGGCCCTCTCTCTCTCTCTCTCTCTCTCTCTCTCTCTTTGCAGACTGATTAGATTAATTAGCCTGCAAATTAGCCCTTTCAAAAACATCAAGGCAAATTAATTTTTGCTGCAGAGACAAATGAAGGCTCTGCCGACAGCACAAGCATTGAGAGTGTGAAGAACTATGCGGTGTTGCCGGGTGAAAGTATTAATTTACAAGCACATCATAATTATATTTGCCTCCCATTTCGAATTAATTCTTCAAGTCCTGATAATGATACCTGTAACCTCCACTGCTGTACTTTTTATTCAGTTTTACAAACAATGTGACTCTCTAATAATCAGACTTGTGGAGGAAGATGATGATCGAACTTCTCTTATAAAGAGAAGATGGGATGTACATTCAATAAGATAATTAACCTGCAGCCATCACAGATATTTTCCACATTACCATCATCAACATGATATATATTTACTGTAAGGTTTAGTGCTTTTTCTAAGCCCCCTTTTTTTTTCTTTTTTTTTTTTTTTCTTTTTAAAAGATTTGCTTTCACGTGAAAGTTTTGATGAAACCAATACTCTTTTTCAGGATCACTTATTACACCCACACATTCACTTCTGGAAGCTGCCCAGTACAACCACAGTCTGATCTGATGGGTGTTTAAAGGAGCTACTTGTAAGTGACTCGGTATCGGAAAGTGACGGTGGTTAGCGTGCTAACTTTAGTTGAAGAAAAGAGGTGAGACAAAGAGGTAAAGAGGTAAACATTGCCGTTGCTTTCCACCACTGCAAACAGCTCTTAGAGAGTAAAGGAAGGATGTTCCTTCTAGACTGGTAGGTAAACAGCTGTTAACACTACAACATTGGCAATAGCAAAACTTACAAGTAGCTCCATTAAGCACCTCAGTGGCAAAAAAAAAGCTGCAAATTTAATGGCAAAATGTGACACTGCAGGAAATAATTTGTGTCGCCTAAAACCATTACAAATCCCTGTAAAGTAAAATAAAATGAAATTAGTTTAGTCACAGATCTTGGTTTGTTGTTTTCTTCCTACGCAGACGTTGTCACTCTGTCACTCCTTTGTGCCTGTCATAATTACTATGGCCACTAGTGGCCTTTGTCACTTGAACAAAAACAGTGCTGTAATAGGGGCACCTGCTGAAACAATGCATATAAAGGACAGTCTACTCAAATGCCTATAATACTGTACCAACATACTTGGTGAAAGCATATAAGATCATGTACTATGAACAAAAGCTTCAAAACAGCTATTAAAAAGGACCTTGAGGTGAGATTGTATTCTCCACTACTGTAACCAAGGACAGGTATTAACCTCAGCTTTCGGACGAGAGTTGCTTAGAATTCTCAGAGAAAGATGGAAATGTGAACATCTACATTTTGTGCCATCTAAGCAAGACAAAAAAAAAATTATATATATATATATTATATATATATGGCACAAAATGTAGACACCAAAAACCCTGGCTTCAAGTCAGCTGATCTAATCCATCACCTCCTATCCCTATGTTCAACTCAGTTTGTTTCTTATTGTGCAGACAACACATCATGGAAGGCCAGACTGCACACTGTATACAGGGTTTTTAAAAATGAACATCCTGCCAGTGACAATGAGAAGCAGACTGCAACTGTAACTCTTGTTTACCGGTAAAAAAAAAAAAAAACAAGACAAAAAGTACAAAAAATAAATCTCAGGGCCACTGCAGTGATCACACTAGCTGCAGTGTGTTTACTTCGACAGGTGATTCATTGTAAAGGTCAGTCTAAATTTGAAAGCTTCCTCATAAGGAATTCATTTCTCCCCTTTTTCTAAACATACAGAACATAATCAAAGATGGAGGCTTTGTAAAAAGGGTGATTTTGGCTTTGAGTTATTATTTTTTTAAGTCATTTAAAAAGAGAAGAATCTATTGCTTATTTGCCGGCGCTTGAGTCGACACATTTCCTTTCAGATGAAGGAAATTTATCACAATAAAAATAACACACCACACACACACACACACACAACACACACACACACACACACACACACACACACACACACACACACACACACACACACACACACACACAAAAACAAAACAAAAAAAACAGAAATATAGATTGGTGGCATTGATACAGTAACTGAACCAAAAATGAGCTTCGTTGAGTCGCCACACCACAACAACAACAACCAACAACAAC